GCTGAAATCGAACTTTTTTGGATGCTACCCTATCATAATTGCGAAATAAGTTCCGAAATAATCAATAGCGCGAAGGTAAAATAAAAATTTGATCTCAAGTAAAAGGACAGTTATAGTGAGAAACCAAACTGAGGGTGATTTGTCGTTCATCCATAAAATTGAGATTATGGTTGGAAAAGATAATGCGGCAAAGTCTAATATAAATTCAAAAGAAGTAAACTATATTAATATATCAGAAGTTAATAAAATATAATTACATTTAAATTGTATACAATTATATATATACCGATCCAATTCCAAAAACTATAAAGATAAATGTCAGTATTATATAATAATTGACGAATTTCAAAAGTGAGAAAGAAGAAACCAAGGATAATTGATAATGTTCTAAAAATTTGATGATTAATCCAAGAGATTGAATCTTCTGGAATAGTTGCTATAAAGGTAAAACATAACATAAATATCGAATAAAGTGCCCATATTGTGTAATAATAGGATCTCCCATATGTTTCCCACTTGAACTTTATCAAAGCTTTAATATTCCACCATCTAAATTGGTCAGGAGAATCTAAAGAAGTAAAAAAATTATTTGGTGGAAATATCAATTCTTTCCAAGTACTATAATCGTTAGAATATGTAGCAAAGTTTGCAGTAGGAACCATTAATTTGACGGTTTTTCGAGGGTAGGAAGTAAAATAAGTCGAAAAAAAAAAATTAATGATTATATATATTTGAGGAAATTTAGTTTTAAAAACTTTCCAATTATTGGAAATCCAATAAGATAAATAATCTAAAGTAGAAGTTTTGGATAAATTTATATAAGTCCCACAATACATAAGATGGGATGAAAGTGAATTATTACTTAAAAACACCTCTTCAAAATGATCAGGAAGCAATAATGAGGTTTTTGATAAAAATCGATCGGAAAAACCAAAATTTTCATCAAAGAATTCTAATTCTACAAGCAAAGCAGAAATGTTATCAATTAATTCCGTGAATGTGTAAATATTTCCATCCTTAGTCGATAATAAAGCTTGTTCAAGAGAATAGGCAAATACTCTCAC